TCGCCGAGAAGCAAAAGGATCTTGATAAGGCGGAGTCCTTTCGTTTGGATGCTCGGAGAAAGACGAAGATGCTTGAGTCGGCGAATAGGACTCTCCGAGCCAAGCGGGAGAATGATCAATCGACGGCGAGAGCCAAGGAAGATCGACTCGAGGAGAGGATCAGAGAGCTAGAGAAAGATAGCTCAGTTCTTCATGATTGAGTGGCCGCTTTGGAGGTCGAGAACGCTCAATTACTTGCACAACCTTCCTGTTCCTGTATTTCAGATTTTGCCAATGTACCTCGCGAATTATATGAATAATAGACTCATGACGAGGCCAAGTTAGATGTATTTCAAGATTTGCATGTGGCGGGGTCCGTTTCTTAAGCTGCCCTTGAAGATGCTCGTGTTAAGGCTCGTGAACTCTGAGTCGCTTGTGGATATGATCCCGCTATGCTTGAGGCAATGAGGGGGACATGGACGAGGGTATAGACCGGCTTGAGGAGAAATCCTAGTATGATACCGCTTATCCTTATCATGAAGGTGGTGCTGGTGAGCGGGGTCGGGATGGTGAGGGTATCAGTGGTCAGGGAGGTGATGTCGTTGAAAACCGAGCCGGCGAGGGCACTGAAGATCATGATGATGCCGACCAGTAGTTTTCTTTTTGACTTTTTCTGTATTTTTGCTGGCGTATTCACGAGCCTTTGTAAATAGTTTAAGTATAAAATATCAAAGGTGTTCCTTGCATCTTCTTCCGTTCCTGTGGTTTATTTTCTTTACTTATATATTTTTTGCTTCTGTTGTTTGCTCGTTTCACCTTTTGTCCTTTTTATTGTTATTGTATTTTAGCTGGTCGTGGCCTTGGAGTCGAATATTCATAGGTCGCATGCGTTTCTTCGTTGAGATGTTATCGAGGGTCGATAGGTGTTTGTTCGAGTGAGGTCGAACATAACCTTTCGTCAAATTGCAATCGAGGGTCGGTATGTGTTTGTTCGAGCAAGGTCGAACATAACCTTTCGTTAAATCGAGCTGAGGGCCGGTAGGTGTCTGTTAGAGAGGAGTCAAACATAACCTTTCGTTAAATTAAGGCCAAGGTCTGGTAGGTGTTTGTTCGAGCGGGGTCGAACATAGCCTTTTGTTAAATCTCGGCTGACGGTCGGTAGGTGTTTTTTCAAGCGGGGTCGAATATAACCTTTTTGTTAAATCGCGGCCGAGGGTCGGTAGGTATTTGGTCGAGCAGGGTCAAACATAACCTTTTATTAAATTATGGCCGAGGGCCGGTAGGTGTTTGTTCGAGCCTAGTCGAGCGTAACCTTAATATGAAAAAGTTGTCCGACAAACGTAAGTTTCTTATTACTTTGACATTGTTGCTTTGGTTACATACTTGGAGAAAGTTACAGATTTTGGGTGTTGGCTGGTGTTCCAGTCCCAGTCTACCTAGCCCCTTAATTATTTGTCTTGGAGAGTATTGAGGAGTCAAGCAATAAAAAATTAACAACGGTCCCTCCCTCACGTAAAGTGTTCCCTTCGTTGCCTCGTTAAAAACCTCCTTGAGAAAACCCAAATGGGACAAAACTCAAGTGAGGGAAAAAGAGTACAACTTGGTGGAGATATTTTCTCTCAGAAGTTGAAGTATTTGAGGTGGATGATGTTCCAATTGGTTGGTAGTTGCTTTACTTCCATTGTCTCTAGTTAGAATGAACCCTTGTTTGCTTTGGCTATGATTTTGTATGGTCCATCCTAGTTTGTTCCCAGCTTGCCTTTTCGGGGGTCTTTGCTCGCTTGAGTTTTGGCTTTCAGCACGTAGTCCCCGACTTTAAGCGGTTGAACCTTTGATTTATTGTTGTAATAGCGTTCTTCTTGTTGTTTTTGGGCGACCATCTTGATGTACGCCATATCTCTTGGTGTGTCAGTTTCGTCGAGTTCCTGCCTTCTGCTCTCATCGTTAATCATACCGCTTTCGTGGGAGTACCTTAGGCAGGGTTTGATGACCTCGATCGATATTACTGCTTCAGTCCCATAGACCAAAGAGTAGGGCATCTCTTATGTGCTCGTCTTCGGGGTTGTTTGGTAGGCCTATAGTACTTATGGTAGTATTTCCGGCCACAGTCCCTTGTCGTCCTCGAGCTCTTTCTTCTTGATGTTTAGTATGGACTTGTTGGAAGACTCTACTTGCCTGTTACCCATTGGGTTATATGGGGTCGAGAGTATCCTCTTGATATGTCATTTTTCGAAGAATTCGACGGTTTTCTTTCCCGTGAACTAGGTCCGTTGTCACAGTTGATCTCCTTGGGTAGGCTGAATCTGCAGATGATGTTTCTCCATATAAAGGTGATTACCTCATGTTCCCGTATTTGGGTGAATGCTCCTGCTTCCACCCATTTAGAAAAGATAGTCAATTAAAATCAAAAGAAACCGTACATTACCTCGCCCTACTGGGAGGGGGGCCACGATGTCCATTTCCCATTTGATAAACGGCTAAGGGGAGGTGACTGAGTGGAGGTGTTCGCCTAGTTGGTGAATCATTGGGGTGTACTTTTGGCACTATTCGCATTTCCCCACGAAGTCTGCGACGTCCTTTTTTATGGTGGGCCAATAGTATCCCGCTAGTATGAGGCATCTAACCAGTGTTTGATTGCCAGAGTGAGCACCGTAATGGACTTCATGGACTTCTTCGAGGATGCACTGGGTTTGGTTCGGGCCTAAACATTTCTCCAGAGGACCACCGTAAGTCCTCTTGTACATGTCGCTATGAAGGAGACTTTAGCTGGCCGCTTGCATTCTTAATTTCTTGACTTCTTTCTTGTCGCCTGTGAGTGTACCGTCCTGAAAATAGGCAATAATACGATTGCGCCAATCCCAAGTTAAGCTAATAGTTCGTACCTCGATTTGATCTAGTGATGAGTTGAAGAGATGGACTACGCTTTTATCCCCGATCGTGATGCTTTTGGTACCTGCAGCCAGTTTGGCGAGGCCGTCTGCTTCGACATTCTGTGCCCGTGGGATCTGATAGGGCTGGCATTCGTCAAACTCAGGTAATAGCTTGCAAATTTTGGTATGGTATTTTTGCAACATTTGTTCCTTGATTTGGAAAGTCTCTATGACTTGGTTAACTATAAGCTGGGAATCATAATGGAGTTTCAACTGTTTCGCCCCATACTTGAGTGTTAGTCTCAACCCTGCAATTACGGCTTCATACTCGGCCTCATTATTAGTCATATCTGGGCACCTTATGAATTGGAGAATTACTTTGCCTATAGGGACCTCCAGTACGAGTCCCAGTCCGGACCCTGCCATATTGAATGTGCCATCGGTGTACAGGACCCAGAGGTCTTTGTTTGGAGGGAAGCTTGGACGGCCTCCCTTTTGACTTCAAGCATTATTTTTGCACTAAAATCAGCGACAAAATTGGCGAGCACCTACGACTTTATCGTCATTTGTATCTAGTATGTGATATTGTGCTTGCTTAGCTCGATGGCCCACTTGGCCAGCCTCCCTGATAGCTCTGGTTTATGCAAAATTCTCCTCAGGGGAAAGGTTGTGACGACCGAGATGGGGTGGCACTAGAAATAGGGTCTAAGATTTCAAGCTATGACTAAGCCAAAGCCAATTTGTCGAGGTGCGGGTACCTCATCTCGGCATCGACAAGTGTTTTGCTAATGTAATAGATGGGAGATTGCGTATCTTTGTTTTCGCGGATCAAGACTGCTCTTACTGCTACTTAGGAGACGGCTAGATAGACGAGGAGTTGTTCCCCAGGTTCGGGTTTTGAAAGCAGTGGTGGTGATGATAGGTATGCCTTTAGTTCTCGTAGAGCCTGGACGCACTCAGGAGTCCATTTGAGGCTGTTGTCCTTTTTGAGTATGCCAAAGAATTTGTGACATCTATCAGACGGCCGCAAGATGAATATTGATAGGGCGGCGATTTATCCAGTCAACCTTTGGACTTGCTTCTTGGTAGTCAAGAGCTCTTGTATCCCTTATATAGCTTTGATTTGGTTAGGGTTGACCTCAATCCCTCATTATGACACCAAAAAATCCAAGAACTTTCCTGAGGCTACGCCAAACGCGCATTTCTCCGGGTTTAGCTTCATTCTGTATCGTCTTAGTATTTTGAAAGTCGTTTCAAATGATCGATATGATCCTCTGCCTTTTCGGACTTGACCAACATGTCTTCTATATATACCTTTATGGTCTTGCCGAGATGGTCTTTGAAAATGTTTTGTCACCAATCTTTGATATGCAGTCGCCGCGTTCTTCAGCCCAAACAACATGACCCTATAGCAATACGTTCCTTGGTGGGTGATGAATGTGGTCTTCTTCCTCCATAAGAATTTGGTTATAGCCTGAGTAAGTGTCTAAGAAACTCAATAGTCCATTACCGGCTATTGCGTCGATGAGTTGGTCGATGTCTGGTAATGGAAACGAATCCTTCGGATATGCTTTGTTCAAGTCTGTGAAATCTAGGCTCATCCACCATTTTTCTTTTTTCTTTTTGACCATCACTACGTTGGCGATCCACTTAGGGTACTTTGACTCCCTGATGGAGACGTTCTCTAACAACTTTTCTACCTTCTCGTGGACCACATCATTGATGGCGGAGTTGAATTTACACCTGAACTGTCTTACTGGAAGGTAGAACGGGTCGACGTTTCATTTGTGTGTGGTTCTTTCCCTTGGTATGCCTGGCATATCTGCATGGCTGACGGCAAACAAATTTGCATTAGTTATTAAGAATTGACTGAATTTACCTAGCTCCCAGAGTTTGCAGCCGATATAGGCCTTTTTTCTGTGGTCATTGAGGTCCAGTTCAACGGGGTCGTGGTCTTCTATGGTTGAGTCTACAACCTCGACTGTTTCGGGATCCATGATGACATTCCTGGTCTCTTCTTGCGTCGACCTAGGCCCTGTTGATTGCTATGCCTCTTTTTCCTTATTTTTTCTGTTGGGTTTCCGTGCTGTCTAAGGCAATGCGGTAGCATTCCCGGGACGTGCGTTATTCTTCGCGTATGCTGAATATATCTCATGGTGTTGGTAATTTAATTGCTTGGTATAGCCTGGAGGGTATGACTCTCATGGGATGTATCCATGGTTGTCCCACTATAGTGTTGTACGCGGTGGCCTGGTCCATGATGTGAAATGTCGTCTCCAAAGTCACGCAGTCAGCCAAAACAGGGAGTGTAATTTCCCCGGATGTCCGTTTAGCTGCATTATTAAAACCAGTTAGCCTGATGCAACGCGACACTATCTTATCCTTTAGTCTCATTTGGGTGAGGACTCGGGGATGGATAATGCATGCTCCACTTCCATCGTCCACCATGATGCATTTTACATCGGTATCTAAAATGCGTAAAGTAATAACGAGGGCGTCATTATGAGGAGAAGTCAAACTGTCGGCATCTGAATCATCGAAGATGATACTTTCTTCAAATTCGTCATGCCATTCACGGGTGATAGACCACTTGAGCTTGTGAGTTGTGGTGAACTTCACGCCGTTGATGGAGGCATCGTCGTTGCCGCTGATGATCATTTTGATAGTATGAGGTTGTGATGGCGGTTTCGTCGGGCCTTGGTATTCACGTCCTCTTACGAAGTTGGTTCTCCCCTTATCGCCTAATATCTCTTTGAGGTGTCCCTGCCGCAACATGTTTACGACTTCTTGTCTGAGGGTGATGCAATCTTCTGTTTTGTTCTCACGTTCCTGGTGGAACTCACAGAGGGTGTCAGATTTTTTGGTGTTCGGGTATGATCTCACTTCACATTTGTTCTGATTTTCTCAAGAGCGTAAACTATTTCTGTAGGTGACACACAAAATTTATGAGCAGATAATAAAGGGGCCATCCTTTTTCGTTCCGGTGAATCCCAGTCCTTGGCCCGGATGGACCTTCTTCATAGTTGTGGGAGGCACATCGGCCGCCCTGACGTATGGTTGGTGTCATTCCCTGTTGGGTCGCGGAACCGGGTGATCCCTTCTGGATTCGGTTTGTACCGAGGTTAGCCAAGTGGTTGGAGAATATTTCATCAATCAGCTCAATAGTTTTCTAGTCTCTCTTGAACCGTCTCTACTCAACCCGTTCTAGAAAGTTGTGATCGTCATCCCTTTAGATACATTCGGCAGAGTCATCCTTACTCCGTTGAACCGGGCGAGGAATTCCCTTAGTCCCTCACCCAAGGACTGCTTGATAGCGAATATGTCATTTACTCTTGCTTCGGCCTTCTTGCTCCGGCATGGGCGGTTATGAACCTATCCGCCATTTCCTCTAAAGTTTCTATAGAGCGGGTTGGTAGCTCCGAATACCATGTTAATGCCCATCCCGTAAGGGTTTCACCAAACTTCTTCAGCAAACTAGAGGACACTTGTTCCTTGGTGAGGTCGATGCCTTTCGTGGAGGTGACGTAATGAGTCACATGATCCTCAGGGTCGGTCATTCCGTTGTATATCCTAAGGTAGGGCGGCATTTTGAAAGTCTTTGGTATGGGATGTGGGGCCGCGTTATCGCTGTACGGATGCTCCATGAACTTGCCAGCGTCCCTTTTTGGCATCACCTTAAGAGCGCCCGGTATCTTGTCGACTCATTCTTGGTGTTCTTTCATCTGGTCTCGGAGTGCTTTTTTTTCATTCTCCATTTCTTTCATCCTCTTTAGAACTACATCGAGGCGTTGTCACCTGCATTTTTAGTAATATTGTGAGTTATACTTGACGTCAGAGGGCTTGTACTGCTCGTATATTTGTTGTATCATGCAGGCTCCCGCAGTTTCTGTAGTCATACCTGGAGCGGGTTTGTTGAGGACACTCACTAGCATGTCGGTCAGCCAAGCTTTGAGGAGTTTTTTCACAGCTGGGGGTGTCCCTTCTTCTGCGGACATGGAGGCCCCTTTTCTTCTGGTTTTGTTATGCTGCAGTGGATGGAGGTGACCTCTCGTGCCTAGGGGACGCGTTGGGCGTCACTTTCTCGCCTACTGTTTTGCATCTCTCGTTGATAACATTCATGAGGTTGTGTAATGACCTGGCCGGTTGTTTTGAGAGTAATAGCCCCGATCCCATATTAATTGCTTCCCCCGTATCGTTTTCTGCTTATGAGACTTGTCATGAGGTTTTATTTTTGATTTCGGAGTATTTTGGGACACTTAGTCCCTAAACGGAAGCTTAAGCATTAGGATTTTGACTGTAGTCGGAACAATGTGAAGAAGACTCCGTGATGGAGTTCCGTCGGTTTCGTTAGCTCTGTTGGGTGATTTTGGACTTAGGAGCATATCCGGACTATGAATTTGAGGCATGTAGCTCATATAGGCTTGAAATGGCGAAAGTCGAATATTTGGAGATTTTGACCGGTAGTTGACTTTTTGATATCGGGGTCGGATTCTGATTCCGGAAGTTGGAGTAGGTTTGTAATGTTGAATATGACTTGTATGCAAAATTTTAGGTCAATCGGACGTGGTTTGATAGGTTTCGGCATTTGTTGTAGAAATTTGAAGTTTCAAGTTTATTAAGTTTGAATTGGAGGGTGATTCATGTTTTTGTTATCGTTTGATGTGTTTTGAGGGCTCGACAAAGTTCGTATGGTGTTTTAGGATTGGTAGGTATATTTGGTTGAGGTCCAGGGGGGCTCGGGTTGATTTCAGGTGGTTAACAGATCATTTTTGGACTTATGCAAATTGCTAAAGTTGCTGGTTTCTGGTATTTTCGCACCTGCGGACTCGCACATGCGAGAGGAGGATCGCAGATTCGGGCTGGAGAAGTTTTGCTGGATCGCAGGTGCGACATGAAGGCCACAGGAGTGGAGTCGCTTCTGCGGAAGCTTGAACGCAGAAGCGGAGAGGCCTGGCAGGTTTGGGATCGCAGGAGCGAAAGGGTCTCCGCAGAAGCGAGATCGCAGGTGCGATCCCTGGTCCGCAGAAGCGGAAACCCTGGCCATGAGTGGAATCCGCACCTGCAATGGTTTTGCCGCAGGTGCGAAATTTCTGGACAGAACACTTAAATGCAAGGGTTCGCGATTTTTGCTCATTTTTGACATTTTAAGCTCGAGTTTGGCAATTTCTTAAGAGCATTTTCGAGGGATTTCTTGAGGTAAGTCCCTTGTGCTTATTTTTGATCAATAATCTTGCTTCCCCATTTATGTTTTCACCTAGTTAGTGTGTTTTTAAGGTGAAATTTGGGAATTTGAGGCTAGGGATTTGAAGAGTTTGATTTTGAGTTTTGAGTGGTCATTCGAGGTAGGATTTTGATAAATTTGGTATGGTCGGACTCGTGAGTGAATGGGCTTTCGGATTGTGTGATTTTTTTTTCGAATTCTGAGACATGGTCCCGGGTCTACCTTTTAGGATGGATTTTGGAATTTTTGTTAAAGTCTTGATTTCATTAATTAGATTAGTCTATTATAGTTGTATTTATGATATGTAATAGTTTTTGGATAGATTTGAGTCATTCGGAGTCGGATATTCATGAAAAAGGCATTGTTATCGATTGAATGAGCTTGGTTCGTGGTAAGTGACTTGCCTAACCTTGTGGGGAGGGAGGGAAAATCCCATTAGGATTTGGTATTATCGTGATATGTGAGCGCCGTATACGTGAGGTGACGAGTACGTACACAGGATATTTGTTGAAAAACCCGATTTATTTTACTGAGTAGCAACCTGTTTTTACTTTAATTTGAGTTATACCGTTTAAATGAGTATTAGTCCATTTTCATTCTTAATTGAGTTATTCTAACATGCATAGTTATCCTGTTTAGTCTAACATCACATGTCTACGTCCTTTAACTGCTTAATTGAACTCTGTGAAGCATGCCTAGTTGATTTCCTACTTTTCCTTGTTCTTTATCAGTCTTAACTATAGAATGCTTGCTGTTAACTATGGTATTTATCGGTTGAGTTGTCTGTTTGCTTTTGAGATTGCGAAGCGGTTCCTAGGGATATCTCCTTGCATATTTACTTTTGAGACTACGAGGTGATTCCTCGGGAGTTCTCCCTGCACATTTACTTTTGAGACTACGAGGCGGTTCCTCGGGAGTTCTCCCTGTATATTTACTTTTGAGACTACGAAGCGGAACCTCGGGAGTTCTCCTTGCATATTTACTTTTGAGACTACGAGGCGGTTCCTCGGGAGTTCTCCCTGTATATTTACTTTTGAGACTACGAAGCGGAACCTCGGGAGTTCTCCTTGCATATTTACTTTTGAGACTACGAGGCGGTACCTCGGCAGTTCTCCCTATATATTTACTTTTACTACTACAAGGCGGTACCTCGGGAGTTCTCCCTGTATATTTATTTTGGGACTACGAGATGGTATTTGTTATCCCGTGATGTTTATCCTTGTGTGTTGCATTGTTATATCGCTGTGTTTTCTTTTTGTTAAATTCCAGTCTTTTATTATACTGTTATATTTTCCTGCTTTATTTAATATATACCAGTGGGCCTAACCTGACCTCTTCACTATGCTTACTGGGTACCGTTGTGGTATACTCATACTACTCTGCTGCACATGTTTTTGTGTGCAGATCCAGGTGCTTCTTATCAGCCCCACAACTAGCTGAGAGTGTTTGTTGTTCTACAGAGACTTCAAGGTACATCTGCCACGTTCGCAGATCTCGAAGTCCCCCTCTATTCTCTCCAATGTTATTTACCTTCCGTACTTATTTTGGTAGACTCTAGTTATAGAGATACTAGTTTCCTTCTGTAGCTTGTGACTTGTGATGTTTCAGGTTTTGGAAAAAGTTGTGTACGTCTAGAGTTTTGGTTATTGTACATGCCGAACGACATTGTTATTGGTTATTCAGTATCTATTATAGTTAGTTGATAAGTTTTGTTTTCGTTTTATTATTTTCCGCAATTTGTTAGGCTTACCTAGTCGTAGAGACTAGGTGCCGTCACGACGTTATACGGAGGGAGTTTGGGTCGTGACAAGTTGGTATCAAAGCTCTAGGTTCATAGGTGTCGTGAGTCATAATCCGATTTATTAGAGTCTCGCGGAACGGTACGGAGACGTCTGTACTTATCTTCGGGAGGCTATGGAACTGTTAGGAAAAATTATACTTATTTGATTCCTTGTCGTGCGAAAAATTAAATTTTGTATTCTATTTTCTCACAGATGGTGAGGACGCGTACAGGCGGATCTGATGACCAGGCACCTGCGCCCCCTACTAGAGCCGCGAGAAGTCGGGGTCGAGGTAGAGGCCGAGGACGTCCACACGGTGAAGCCAGAGCACCCGCACAAGCTGCTACAGAGGATCCTCTAGTAGCTCCAGCTGGAGGGCAGGCACCTGAGGTGCCTATTGCTGCACCAGCTCTCTAGGAGACTCTAGCCCAATTTTTGAGCATGTTCAGCTCCTTAGCTCAGGCCGGATTGATTCCATTGCTCCTGCCACATCTCAGGCCGAGGGAGGAGCACGAACTCCTATCGCCGGTACTCCAGAGAAGTGGGCTCAGGTCGACAAGGACCCAGAGTTCATCCCTATATAGCCGGTAGCTCCAGTTCAGCACGAGACTAGAACAACCGTTTCTGAGGTGGAGCAGTTCAGACTTGAGAGGTACAAGAAGTACCACCCATCTACCTTTAGCGGATTGGCTACAGATGATGCTCAGGGTTTTTTGGATGAGTGTCATCGTATTCTCCGTACTATGGGCGTAGCGTAGACGAGTGGGGTTTCT